GATTTAGACTGGATTGACGTCGGATTCTGGGGCCCACATGTGAGGATGAGCGGGAGTCAATGTATCGCGAGATCTTGTTAGGTGATGTTAGTTTTTTAATCTAACATTTTATTTTAGAGTTTGTTTTGTTTTTCGTTAGAAAAAGTTAAGTGACAAATTAATAACAAAAGGAAATTCATGTCAACTTACTTACGACTTTGTTGATGGTTTGGACTTGTAGGCAGTGGCGGAGTAGGAATTCTATTAAAACACCCCTAAGAAAGAGGTAATCTATATATACTACTCGCAGGTGGTTAGAGACTTAGTTTGAGAATTACAACTCTTCTATTTATTAGTTTAGATCACCCCACTCACATAGAGATGGTTAGGATAGAATCCCTATTGACAATGACGGATTCATGTAAACTTTCTATTTATGATGTAGATCACTCTATTCTTGTAGAGATGGTTCTGATAGGATCCCTAGTGGCAATGGTGGATCCGAAATAGCTTTCTTATGGGGGCGAAAAATAAGTATCTATTTATCTAGAAATAAAAATACAATTATTGGCCATATAATTAATTATAAGCTAAATTCAATCAGAATGGACTATTAATGCAAATGAGCTCAAATGAGCTACTAGCCTACCATTTGTTGGTTATATACACAAGTATCGGGCCATATTTTCTTAAATTTAAAAAAAAATAAGAATGCAGATTGAAATTTAAGAAGACTTTAAAATGTTAATTATGAAATTCTGAAGTGTAATTGCACGCTAAGCTAGAACATAGCTGCTTGTAGGACTCCTATTTTGCTTACAATGAATCTGTTCTTTTGTTTAAAAATTTCTAATAGCTAGACTTTGCTATTGAAAGGATCCAAAGCTAGATATCTTCAAAATCATAAATTGCTTATTTATTTTTAGAATTTGATCGAGAATGATGGCGTTTGTTCCCATCCCGTTTTGTCTCTGTTTCTCTTTCTTTTATAATAAAATTGTACAATGACATGAAGAATTCAATGAATTTCAGAGAGTTTCATCTCAGATAAAGGTCTAAACAAACATGAAGAATTCAATGAGTTGCATTTTAATTTATCCATAGTTTTTAAGTCTAGTCTTTGTGCTGTATTTGACAGAAAAAATGTTGTTTCTTATGGATTTTGTAGGAGTTATTTTCTCTCTCCAAAAGGAAAAGAAAATGCATGCTTGTGTTCTATCAAACTTAATACAATTTCTTTTTCTTTATTTATTTCTTGTTTTTCCCCTTGTAATTCGTTTTCTAATTTTTTTGACGGGTTTCTTTCTTTTATGTCTTCTGATGACTCCAAATTATCTTAGAAGCAAAGTAAACGGTATTAAATGCACTGATGTTATGATTGTCCTAGTAAATGTTTCTTAAATAATTTTCTAACTTTAGTAAAACGTGTCGTTATTCAAATTTATGAAAGATACAATACGTGTAGCCCCACAACTCATTTTGTGACAATGAGATAAGCACGCATTAATCTTGTTTTGATGCTTTACGAGTGCAAGTAATTCAGCCAAAAAAGATCTCTTCTTCTTTCAAATCCAACAACTAATCCTAATCCCTTTCTTCTAATTGTCCTCATTAGGTTTAGTTGAAGACAGGTTAGCAAAAATTAAAGCTCAACCTAATTAAAACTCACGTGGTTTATAATTATGATGTCATGATGGCGTGGAATGTAATACCATCTAAGCTATCTCAACCCAAAACATGATATGATTACCTTAAAAAAATTGCATTTTTGTTCATTTATGAATTATGAATGATGTATGATGGTAGCAAAACTTTGTCAAATGCCTTTGTAGTTTAATCCTCTATTGATCCGGAGGTCTGATAAATTTTTATTTATCTAACTTCATCTTAATATTATTTATTGGTAAAATGTAGAATATTACTCGCGTCACTTGCTCAAACTACCATCTCTCCACAGTTAATAACAGATTGAGTCAATTTAACACAAAGTTTCTCTTTGCTTATGATATAAGTAGCTCATTAATGCCTCTCATAGTGTCCAAGTCAAAAAGTAAAAGCGAAATAATGGTGGTCATTCAATGAAGAGTTAATAATTTAGCCTAAGAGTTCAATGAATTCTTCTCCTTCAAATTTCTCCCCCACTCATCATGGTTCCTTGCAGCATTAAAAAGAAGTAGGGGGAGATTAATGGAGCTTTCAATTTTGAACAAAATAATATTACTAGTTTTGACTTGGAAATAAGTTTAGTAGAAAGATATAGTTTAATAATGAGCTAATTAGTTTGTATACACAAGCCCATGTGCCATCTTTTAAAGGGAGGTGATTACAGAGAGGCAAAGGATTAATGGAGGGATGAATTAAAAAAAATTAATGGTATTCATTGTGGAAGAGACATAACAACTAATGGGGCATTCAATTGAAAGTTCCACACTCTTGGTCACATCTTTTAATTTCATTACTTACAGTATGTTGCTATCTTAAATATTTTTGATATGCAGCTTAATCTCATTTCCGTATACATTAAAGTCATGTCTATTTAGAGTCTTTTGAAATCTCTCAGAATTATCTTTGAACTACTCATGGGCTTAAACTATGGGATCAAATGGTCTACCAACTTGATAATTTGATCATGGTAATTTTGAGCTAGATTTTAGAATTATAAAATAAGAAAACTCGTGTTTATTTATTTTAGGTTTTTAATGAATTTTTATGCGGAGGAGTTCAATATCCAGATTCCTGGTTCCATGAACTAATACTTCACCATGATGGCACGTAATAAGTTGCATTGGCATAATTGGGAAAACTTTATTCATCCATTGTTGCCTAATATTTGGTCAAAAGGATGTTTTTAATTCTATTGTTTAATATGTGGACCTATTATATGCATTGTCACCAACCCCTCTTATCATTTGAACTATCTCTATCCCCGTTGCAACTTGCTACTAGATGACATATAGGAAAGGTAGGATCAAACATTTCTAATTGGTCATTCTGTACTTTTGTATATTAGTAAATCTACTTTGCAATACCCACCCTCTATGTTATTTGAAGGGGTTAAAGACTTCCGCCATGTTTTTCATAAGAGCACGCTCATTCCTTAAGGGTACACGATCTTACACTTGGTATACATAAGCAAAAACAGGACCAAGGTATGTATATGTATATATATAGAATATATATATATACATATCAATAGCTATAATAGTAGTATATATATATAATATATTATATTATAGATATAATCATTTATAATATTAGGCTAGAATAACTATCCCTCACAACTTTGATATATTATAATATATATATATATCATATCCTCTATATAGTAGGATAATATATAATATTACTACCATATAATATAATATATACTATATATAATTATATATATAAATATATATATATTATATAGATCATATACTATATATATATTATCATAATATTAATAATATATATCATATATGGCGTGTTGTGTAGATCAAATTACATATAGATAAAAGACAGTGAAAGAAAATTAGACTTGTATTTCTCTCAAAAATCTATGTAGCATTTGCATTTCTATTACAAAAGAGAGGAGAATGAATCTGGATTCCCCCCCTAATTGTTAATCTTGAGGGTTGCTTCAACGCGATGGCGATGGAGTGCCTCCTTCGAATGCTCGCGCCGTCGAATTTGCTCTTCTATGAATCGCACGTTTTGATTCACTAGAACGTTCTGCTCCTCACGATTTGACGTTGTTGGAGACTTGCGCTGGCAAGTTTAGAAACCTGCTGAACTGAGTCTTAGAAGAACTATGTAAAGAGTTGATTTGAACCGAAAAGCCGCGTTCAACTATGCCAATGCCAGAAATGAGGAGTCCGTGTGGGATACGATCTCACCACGCAAAATCATACCGGAGAACGTTCTCCACAATATCCTCTACGTTTTGCTGCCGAAGCATCCACAAGCGGCAAGTCCGAGCACAAGAAATCCGATTCCCCCCCTCCACAGCTGCCAAGTTCAGATTCCAAAAAAGCACCTCGAACTCAACTTGAAGTCCTAACCCATAATTATATGGGAGATTAAGGGGGAGATAACAATACTGTAAACCCGGCCCCCCTTATCTCTCCATAATGGGGATCTGAGAGGAGGATGTAAACCGCCCCCCATAATCCGCTCTAAAGTGGGGCGGAAATCCCTCAAATATCCGTGAGTGACGAAAAGGATCAGAAAAACGTTACCTACAACCGTTCAGCTCCGTAATCACTTGAACGACAAAACACAAGTCAAACGCCCACATTGCCGACGTTCAGGACCCTAAATCCGCGTTTAAATAGAGACGCGGAGTGGGGTACCGGCTGGGTGTTCTGAAAAACGACATAGTAGGGACATGACACGCTAGCGTTTTGAGATCTAGAACTGTTGGGAAACGCGAGGCTGGTCGCCTGCGCTATCGTTTGTTCTGCAAGGTTAGGAACGACGAGGGTATGCACAAATCGCTACCGTGTTTTGCTGTTGAAGCTCTTGGAACAGCAGAGGGGCGCTGCGTTCCAAAATTGAAACCGAAGCATGAATCCGTGTTTATCTAGAAGGAGCTAATGACTATAGCTTCTTCCATGCAGAGCAGTTACAAGAGAAACACTATAATCATCATTGTATCTTCATCATAATAGGCTCCTTGAAATAATCGAGAGTCTGGTCAGAATTGTAACTTTTCGATGTTGATTGTGAAGACTACCTGAATTTAGAGTTTCATCGAGTTGTTGTGAAGCCAGTCTCAGATTGAACCTTCATCGCTCTATGCTAAAAGTCTTTCAAATTTAGCCTTCTGGAACGTGCGTCAGATTGTAACTATCCGATCCATCGGAGTTTGATAGGGATCAGCTATCTATTTTGATTTTTATTTAGACAGCCTACAATGGGTACATGCTTACGCGTATA